CATTCAAAGCTAACAACATGGTCTCAGACAAACACGCACCAAACATAGTTTTGACAATTGAGTGAAGAGATGTGACCTACTTATATTTGTCTCCAATAAAAGGCGTTCCATCCAAAATGCGTGAAGATACTTTGCGTGATATACCCTTCAAATAGTCCTATAGAGTCAGACTGTCAATCCATGCCGCCCAGAGTTACAGACCCAAATGCTGCAAATCCTCGCCGCATTTTAGTGTAAGAACTCAATGATTTAATTAGTATTGTCTGGCTGTCCCTCTAGATCTTGCATATGATTACAAAGAAAATGATCTCATGCACGAAGGCTTACTCTTATCAAATCGGTCTTTGCTTCCTTGCCGGTTTACTATATGTCCAATATCCTCTTAAGCCAGTCCATCATAAAAAAAAACTCACTTCCATTGTTAGGAAATTTTGGTGGACGGGAATTCAGAAGGATGATAAGGCAAAGCCTATTTGCTTTAGAGCTTGGGATGATATTTGTAGACATATGCATAAAGGAGGATTGGGTATTAGGAATTTAGCTATCATGAACAAATCCTTGGTTACTAATATGGCTTGGAATATCACTAATAATCCCTCTTCTTTAATTGCTAAGGTTCTTAAAGCCAAATGTTTTTATAAATCTACCATATGGAAACCTAATCTTTATTCTCCCAAATCTGCGTTCTGGACCGAAAAGTCCATTCTGCACCCGAGCTCATATGCCCCCGCATGAACAGTAAAATCGAAAAAAAAATCGAAAAAAATTCAAAAAATTCCAATTTTTTTTTGAGAGAAACATTGAAAAAAGTTCTAAGTGCCTGCAAAAACTGATCATGAAATCACATTCCTGTAAGGCGTGGCAAAAAACACAAATTCAGTGCTTCAAAATGCATTTGAAAGTAGCTTTTTCAGAGTATTATTTTTGTCTTTTTTGCCACGCCTTCTAGGAATGTGATTTCATGACGAATTTTTGCAGGCACTTAGAACTTTTGTCAATGTTTCTCTCAAAAAAAATTTGGAATTTTTTGAATTTTTTTTGTTTTTTTTTCGATTTTACTGTTCATGCGGGAGCATATGAGCTCGGGTGCAGATTAGCCGCGTCCGTTCTGGACCTCCTTTATTAAAGTTCTTCCTGATATTATTAATTCTTATAATATACAGGGAAACACTTCCATCTGGAACAATCCTTGGTGCAAAGGAAGGGGAAAAAAATATGATCATCTCAAGCCCAACCTAAATGGTCCTTGTCCAAACATCATTAATGATCTTTGGAAACCTAATTCTAAAGTTTGGGATGAAGATAAGATCAGTGCCTATTTTGATGATACTTTTAAAAATGATGTTTTAAATACTCCTGTCACAAATGCTGAGCTTGATGATACCTTGTCCTGGATTTACACTCCAAATGCAAAATGTACTACTAAAAGTGCTTACAAAGTTTTTATGCAAGATGTCCAGGATAATACGATGAACCAAAGACCTCTTGTGACCAACCAGGAGATGGCTATTCTAAACCAGGTTTGGAAAAATAAAACTTTGGCTTCTAGAGTTAAAACTTTTGCTTGGAGACTTATTAGAAGAGCTATTGCTTTAGGGTTAAGAGTTTCTAGATTTTCAAAACATATAAAGAAAGAATGTTGTAGGTGTGGCCAGGTCGAATATGATAGGCATCTGTTCTTTTTATGCAATTTCTCTAGATTGGTTTGGTTCAAATTAGGTTTTAAATCGGATATGGTAGATCATAGCTTATATCCTTCAGATGTCATCAACTTCATTTTGTCTAGCCATCACCCAGATTTAAGCTCAGAGATCATCTTTACTACTTTATGGAATATTTGGAAAGCCAGAAGTGATCTTCTATTTAATAAGAAAAATTGGAGTCCAATGCAGGTTATATACGCTACCAAATCAATGCTTAATGCAGGTGCATTGGAGGATGAGCTGGAAGATAAGAGGATTGCTAATATGGAAGCCAATAGCAATGCTATTGACAGGGAGCTGAATTTTCATCATGCAGGTTTCTTAGCATATATAGATGTCGCATACAATCCTATAGTTAGCCAAGATAAAGCCTCTTTCGGAGTATTTCTAAGGGACAAATCAAGGAATCATTCCATATTTATTCAAGCTGTTGCTAGGAATGTTTGTTCTGTTCTGCAGGCTGAAGCACTTGGGCTTCTTCTGGCGGCCCAAGTATATAAAAAGGAAAACCAAGGTAAGCATAGCTTCTCTCATGACAGCCTGTCTTTGATTCGCATGATCGCAAAAACACAAAAATAGGTAAGTTGCAAGGTTGTCATGGACACGTTTGTTTCGTTGCACCATAGCAAAAAACAAATGAATCTTTCCAAGAGGTTTCAGTCAATGGAAACTTTCCTAAGGAATACTTCGGAAAATTTACCCATAGGATTCAATCTTCTAAATCAAACAGCCAACTTAGGAAATTCCCTATGAAAATCCTAATGAATCAACGAGGCCCCAAGCTGAATTGAACTTCAGTTCTGTTAAAATGTCAGAAACTTTGATAAACACATGTAATGGCAGGATAGAACATAAACATCATATATCCAAGACAATACTCGAGTGGTTTGCATACATCTGATTCAAGCATACAGTAAAAAAAAAGCATACGGAAAGGTTGCAAGAAATTATTCAATGAACCTGAGCCTCATGATTGCTTTTCTGCTCCCGCCTCTTCCCATCAGAATTTAATTACAAATATGCATGCCGTAGTTCTTAGGTGCATATTTTCTGAGCTTCTGCATCTTCAGGACAGTATTTAAATACAAAGAACTCTTGGCTTCTTGACAGGATTTTGCAGCTCCGCACCATGTTGATTTCAGTGTGCAGCATAAGAAATCAGGCATATACTAACACATAAATCAAACATTTCTCCCCTATGGAGGCTTGTTTCAGCACAATGATGTCTCCAAGGTGGATGGAGGGTAATCAACCTCAGGCCACCCAGTCTGTAAGCTCCTGACAGGTCACTGTCTACAGGAATACTAACCTAGCATGGATTTCATAGACTGACCATCATTACCAACCATGGCATTCCCAGTGCCCTTGGGGACCTTGCGCTCCTTAAGGAGCCTGCGCACAGTGGCCATGTCATCCCATCTGTTTGATGCACCATATATGTTTGACAGGAGGATGTACCGGCTGCCATGACGGGGCTCCAGCTCAATGAGCTTCTTGGCAATCTCCTCACCAAGCTCCACCTCACCATGGATCTTGCAGGCGCCAGCAAGCGCACCCCACAAGCCCGGATGCGGCTCCACCGGCATGCTGTTGACAAAATCCACTGCCTTCCTAACATGACCTGCCCGACCGAGTAAATCAACCATTAGGCCGTAGTGCTCTTGGAGTGGCTGGATTCCAAAGCCATTAACCATCTTGTTGAACAACCAGCGGCCCTCATCGACAAGACCTGAGTGGCTACAAGCACCCAGCAACCCGATGAAGGTTATATCATTTGGTCGAACACCAGCCATCTGCATCTTCCAGAAGAGTGATAAGGCCTGCATTTCCCTGCCGTTCATGGCGAGCCCAGTAATCATCGAGTTCCATGAGTAGATGTTTTTCACTGGCATTGCAGCAAACACCCTGACGGCATTATGGATACCCCCACATTTACCATACATGTCAACAATCGCTGTCGCGAGGATGACGCTCATCCCATTCAGCTCCCGCTTGGCATACGCATGTACCCACATGCCGTGCTCTATCGACCGCAGCAGCGAGCACGCTGAGACAGCGCTCACCAGTGCAGCCTCATTCGGCACGACACCCGTCCCGACCATTTCACTGAACACCCTCAACGCCTCCTCACACTGATTGGACTGCACGAGCCCAGTGACCATCGAGCTCCACGAGGCGGCATTCCGGCTGGGCATTGTATCGAACACCTTCCGCGCCTTGGACAGCATCCCGGCGGATGCGTACGCGCCCAGCATCGCGTTCCAGGAAACCACGTTCCTCTCAGGCATGGCATCGAAGAACCAACTCGCACGCGCAACGTCGCCGGCGTTGGCATGCCCGGTGACCATGGTGGTCCAGGTGACAACGTCGGCGACATCCTTTGTGTAGGAGAAGAGCCGCTCGGCGGAGGCGACGTCGGTGGCCCTGAAGTAGGCGGAGACGGCAGCGTTGAGGACGTAGACGTCGCGGGCATGGCCAAGCCTGACGGCGAGCGAGTGGAGGAGGCTCGCGACGGGGAGGCTGGGGGAGCGGGTACAGGAGTGGAGGGAGAAGGAGAGGGAGAGGTGGTCGGGCGGGAGGCGGTGGAGGAGGAGGAAGCGGAGGAGAAGGGCGCAGGCAGCGGGGATGCGAGCGGCGCGGAGGAGGGAGTTAACGGAGGTGCAGGAGGAGAGGTGGCCAGAGGTGATGAGGGCGGCGTGGGCGCGGTGGAGGATGGCTGGTCTGGCGGCGGCATTGGCCGCCACGGCGGCGAGCCAGGAGGAGGGCTGGGAGTTCGCCATGGGAGAGCACCGCACTGACAGGTAGGACCGGCGAGAATGGGGCAATGAGATCTGCTCCTCGAGTGCTATGAATCGTCCGATGGAAGGCGGGCGGTCGTGATCTTCCACATGCAGCTGCTACATCAACGGGCTACGCAAATCTTCCTCCGGCCACGACGGCCTGAGCCGTTTCGAGTTCATACATTTTTGGCACAGCTTCTACAAAACCAACTGAGCCAGCCTGCGAATTCTGCACCGGTACCGGGCTTTGTAAATAAGCAGAAAACGAGGAAGAATCTGAAACTTTTGCTCCCATCGCAGAAAAGAATAAGTAAGTAAACAACTCTTTCCCCCAAGAACGAAACCGTTTTGTGCAAGTGTTGCAACTAATTATAGGTTACATATAACAGATTTGACAAAAATAACCAGATAACAAAATGTACAATTTTTTTTCTGATGAGAATGGGATGCAGGAAGATCTGAGTGTTGCCCTTGTCCACTCCATAGTTCAGCCCTACAGTCTTCACAATCACCCTTGTCAGGCGGCAGGTCTCTTGGATGCTCTTGAGGTGTCTGTACAGCTATCGGCACTGTCATCATCTTCAGCCTGCAAAGATGCAATAGTTTGGGTGTCAACAAGTATCAAAATGACACATTCCTAAAGAAGAAGAAAACAAATGCCATGCGTGTAGTCTGGATAGAACGTGCGGCCGAGTTATCATACTCTGCTAATTCGCAAAAAAAAAAAAGAGTTATCATAATCTGCTTATGGTGGTTGAGAAGAAAATATCTTGAGAAATGCACAAGAAGAAATGCAAGAGGAAACGCTTTGGTCAACATTCTGCAATGAAGGCTTTTCCTTGAGCTCTATCTACTAGTGAATTGGTGAATAAATAGCGATGAACACTTTTTAACTACCCATGCCTACCACCTAGATGATTTTGTATGAGATATTTTTCCCTTGCTTGCAGCAAAATCACATATCTTGTAAGGATAACATAAGCTGTCTCTAGATTTAAGGCAGAAAGACTACAGCTGCCAGTGCTCCATGCAGCGCACTGCGCACTAAAGAGGAACTTGGCACCATATCGACCAACAAGAATAGATACTCAAATCCAAGGCAAAGAGGATTTTTTAGACGAATCGTATCAAGTGTCCAGCTTTAACATTAATAAAGCCCCTGCCGAAGAGGATCCAAACTTGGGTTGTGGAGTTCTACATCCACGCGTCTCACCAGACCTCTTGCAGTGCACTAAGAGGAGCAGAAAAACTATAGAAACTTGGTGGCATGTATGTGATGGTGTGTGTTCATAAAACCAATTGAACCTAGTTCCCTAGAGATTGACTGCTAGTATTTTTTAAGGTTACAATAATGTTTTCATGGGGTGTTTGTCTATTCACTACAAGCCGAAAAAGATGGCAAATTCATATGATCTTGTGCAACACTTGCCTTCCAAATATGATAATTGAACTTACCTTACCAACCCAGTTCCTCTCTGCTTTCTGCAGGATATATTTTGACGACCCAACTAAATAACCACCAGGATGCTGATTCCGTGAGTGCACTTCGACTGAAGATGAACAAGATGGGACATTAAACACACTCCCGCTGCTGGATCTTTTCCTTGATATCGGAGAGTTTGCTATGGAGCCTGTGTCTTCCATATTTGAGGCCTTGATCACATCAACACAAATGGTCTGTTTATTTGTGCCCTTCAGTTCCTTAGGTTGTAACTCAAGATTCCTGCCATCATCAGTGGGCACTTTTTGATCACAGTGAGGAGCACCTGGAGATAGTTCCTTCAAAACAACTTTTGGGACATCAAAACTCTTAATATGGCTCAAATTGTCTTCAACAACCTCACCATCTAATTCTGCAAGTTTTTCGGCTGTATCCAATTGCCACATTGTGGAGATGGCATCATCTAAGCACTCCCGAGCCGTGTGAAGTTCTACTATGGGCATAGGATAGTTAAAGCCTAGCTCAACACCAGCAACTTCTAGTATAGAGCTCGGTGCATCCCACGGATGATGGATCCATTCCCCTGGCATTCTAGCTAGCTCTGGAATCCAAGTTCTTACGTATTCACCATCTGGGTCATACTTTTGACCTTGAACCTGGTTTTGCATGCAAGGAAAGCACAAATGAGAAATAGATAAATCTCTCATGAGACACAGATTGATAAATTACGTGATGCTCAGGTACATATAACTAGATGCTTCTACAACAAAGACAACATAACTCGTAAGAAAAACAGACATAAATAAAGGACTTGTGTCATAATATAGGTTGACAGCTGCAAGACGGAATCATAACATGAATAGTATGTTCAGCAGAATATACTACAGCAACTTTAAGAATGAAAAATCATAACTACGCAAAAACAGAACGCCATGAACTTTCATGCGTGTATCTCCTATGTTGCTTATAAGCAACTGTCAAGCGTGATAAAATATTCTTGGATCACCATCTGCTCTCTTTTGAGACAGAGGATTAGCTAATCATTTATGAACTACCACATGAACAGAAGTGCTTTTAAAATCCAATTATGAACAGAGACTACAATCTTCATTTGTGCTCTTATTTAAGATTAGCAGATATGTCAAATATGAAATGGTGCTACAGTGCTTTGATCTAACAGTCGCATACCTCTGGATTATCAAGACGACCAAGCTCATGTCCATCAGGCAAACACCCAGTTATGTACTGCCAGCCAAGAATATCACTTTCTATATCAGCATCCAACAGCACATCCCAAAAGTACTTCATCCCCCAAGTCCACGGAATTAGTAGAAATTTCACAGCAAAGCTTGAAACTATTACTCTTATACGATTATGTGTCCAGCCAGTAGCCCAAAGCTCCCGCATGCCAGCATCTACTAACGGGTATCCTGTCATTCCCTGCCTCCAGGACTTGAACCGGTCCTCGTCTGCTCGCCAGGGGTAGTGTTTCAAGTTCCCGAGCAACGACCTTTCATGTGTGAATGGGAAGTTGAAACACAAGTAACGTGAATATTCTCGAAGACCAATTGACAGCAGGAACAAGTTAACACTCTCCCCAGCTCCGGATTTCCCCTCATTTTCCCACTTGATCTGTTGCATCCTGACAAGTTGATAGACTTTCCTTACACTCACCTCACCATAATGAAGATATGGTGACAGTAACGATGTTGTAGTTCCTGCAACCTTCATTCCGTCTTTTGAATAATCTAGGAGACCATGAGACACGAAATCCTCAAGTGTCTTCTCCGCATTGCGCCAGCCAGGAGACCAAGCCCTGCTTAGCAAAGCATTGCTTGATTCCTCATCCTTACTTGATTCAAGACCTAGGTCATCAATTGAACTACTGCAAATGTTTTCTATACCTGAATGTGAAACCGGAAAATGGTAAGTATTAAAGCAGCAATGGCTTGACAGATTAGAAATTGAGTATAAGATTGGATCACCAATTACTAAACCTGTATATGTGGACAAAGCAATGCTTTCTACTTTTCTACTCCCTCCGTCCCAAAATTCTTGTCTTAGATTTGTCTAAATACGGATGTATCTAGTTACATTTTAGTGTTAGATACATCCGCATCTAGATAAATTTAAGACAAGAATTTTGGGACGGAGGGTGTAGTACAAAGCACTGTAACACCATTTCATATATTATTTATTATTTAATTTCAACATGCTATTATACAGTACCAAACTAATTCCTTAACATAGGTAAGGAAGCTGCATCACATGAAATGGACAAAAACAAGCAACAATGTTCCACAAGTAGAGGCAAATGACAAATGTTCAAGAACTCAAAATGATGATGCCAGGCCACTAGCCACAATCTACCTGAGACAGGCACCAACCTCCAAGGGGCAAGAGATGATGATATCTCGATATGCAATTTCATGCACTTTTCCCAATACATATTGAACGTTGTAAATGCAAGCCCATTCTCATCATAAACTTGCCATGGCTCATATAGCAGATCACCATTGAAACTCTGCATAGAAATTCCAAGGCCCAAAAGCTCATTCTTGATTTTGTCATCCCGCACAAGTGAAATAGGGTCTATAGCATAGGAAGTGAGAACATATAAGATCAAAATAACATAATTAAAAAGAGAAAAAAGGTTAGCAGTAAATCAACTGGTACCAGAATAGAGCAATTGCCGACTCCAACTAAAAGTATGTACACTTCATACAAACTTTACAGGCATAGGTTTTGAGCATGAAAACACTAGTTCTGTTTTCCATAGCATCCATGTACTGCCTCAAACAGAAAATATATCACTTCGTGTGACATCATACCATGGTGGGTTAGATTTAACCAAGGAATAGTATAAAAAAAGTCTAAACTGAGAGCGTGGTTATGTTAATTACTAAATACAAATCTAAACTACATTTAATGCCATTTAGCGCTTGAAATGAGTATTCATTTGGTTAAAAACTTTAATTCAGCCCTCCTTCGGTTAAAACTTCAATTCTGCTTTCCTTTGGTTAAAACCATCCATCATACTCATTCAGCCCTTGAAATGAGTGTTCATTCAATCAAAACTTCTATCATGCTCATCATAATTACAGTGTACACTCATTGGCCGAAGGGAGGAAATATTCTTTAATATGTATTAGTACATGATTGAAAATGTTCTAAACTCTGCTATACTGAATTTGGAAATGAAAATTTATGATGTGTTTCTTGTTACTGTAATCTTCTAAATAGTTTTATCTGTTAGCTTGAATTGGTTAAACATTCGCGTGAAGAATATCCTAGGCAGTAAGCACTACGGCATTAGTAAAAGTGATCTCATAGACTAAGAAAACATAATGAATACATTTCTATTCCAATCTACTCCCTCCGTCCAAAAGAGCTTGTCCCAACCTTGTCTTTCAAATGGATGTATCTAGCACTAATTTAGTGTTAGATTCATCCATTTGAGGGACAAGCTTTTTCGGACGGAGGGAGTAATACTTAACGTAATCATACGGTGTGAAAATGCAACTGCCATGAAGTGTAATGTTGTCTTTTTGAAGGGAAGTGTAATGTTGTCACCAAAGGTTTGGACCAAAAGTTGCATATAGTTTTGAGGTCTTGAAGTATGTGACGTGACTGGCTAAATTTTTGAGGATATAACTGCTAAAACTCATTTGAAAAATATGCCACGACAGAACAGGAATCACTACTAAGATAACATTGGCAGGTAAACATACCGTATAGATGATTATAGACCACTCTGGTGGCGCCGATGGAATCGACGCACTGCAGAAGCGCGGCAAGAGTACTCTGAGCTCGGATCAGCACGAGCGGGCAGCCGAGCGCCTCCAGCGACCTGGCAAGGTGGGCAAGCGACTCCTTGAGCCACCACCGGGAGCAGCGGCCGGGGTAGAAGCGCCCCTCCTCGGCCGGGCACCATATGAAGACAGGGAGCACAGCGCCGTCCCTGGCGGCGGCGGCCAAAGCCGGGTTGTCGTCGATCCTGAGGTCCCTCCTGAACCACACAACGGTCCTCTCCGACCCGCCCATCGTGGTGGACGCTCAATCAATCCACCATGACCCGGCCCAAGAAAAGCTAGCTCACCGGTCGCTCACGGGCATTACGTCGAGCAGGACGTATGCACTAATAAACCGCCGGTGAGGTAGCTGGCAAGTTGCAGCGAGTGGAGATCAAAGGGGAAACAAAGGCTGGATCTTGATGGCGGCAAGGGATGGACGGGGAGGCGAAAGGATTGAGAGATGAGGACGGGGAGCAGGTGGCGCAAGAGTCCAAGAGCTAGTCAGTGCGAGGGAGGGCACGGGGCACCAACCGAATCGCGGGCTGTGGCGAGGAGCGAAGGAGGACCGCGAGCTCGACAACAATCTGCGCGCGGCATGGGCGTGGGGCTTCGCTTTCGCACCCTCCTAGCAAGGACCAGCGGTACTAGTAAGTGTTTTTATCGACCCCCCGCCCCGTCCCCAGTCCCCATGGCCATGGGGAGGAAGAGCTAGTGGCGCAAGCGTCCAAAGAAAGAAAGGATTAGTGGGAGTGCGTGCGTGCAGACGCGGCCATGGCGCCCGGGACCGGTCTGGGAGGGAACCCATCCCTGGTTGCCACTCGATGGCCGCGATTTTGCTGTTTCGAGGGGTGCGGTGGACTTTTCACCGGCCGAGCTGCCATTTTTGGATGGATCGGATCGGACCAGGCTCCCGATGCGATGATGATCCTCTCTCTCCTCCGGCAGCGGCAGGCGTGCATTTGGAGTACTTGCCGGCCACATGGACGTGGCGCTCGAGCCACCCCCTCGCTTCCCTCGTGTGTGCACCATGCGATGCGTCGTTCGTTCAATGGACCTGCTCATGCCTCTCCTTTTCATTTGTTTCTTTCTTCCATTCCGGTCAAAGAGACACGGTTCATTCCTTCTCTTGTGTCGACGCCGTTAATATCGCACGCCTCGTCATCGCGTCTCCCTCCGATCAGAAAAAGTTTCCAGTTTCGCTCCTGTTCCCGTGACCTGACCGGCTTGTCTCGCACCGCGACAAGAGCGGTGTTTCCACTTTCCAGAGATAAATAAATAGGAGCGTGCTTCTGAGTTATCCACACATCACTAAAAAATATTCTCGCTAGACGGCTTTTTAAAGATAAATAAATAGGAGAAGCAGTACGGAGTATCTACCATGCCGACGTGCATGGCAGGTTATCAAAGCGAATATGGTATTCGATCGTACGAGCAAGCGTATTTTTTTAGGTGCACGAGCAAGCAGATGGACACTGTTGTCTTTTCTTTCCCCTTTCCAAGGGTCACGGCTTCCCTACTTACCGTATTGATCGGTCAGGATTAATTAGCGGGCGGGCGGGAGTATCGTGACGTGATTAGTACCGCCACCGGCACCGGACGTACGTCCTGATAAAGTGGCGTACGGCAAAATTGGCATCGAAAGTGACTCGGCGCAAATGCGCATGGGGACTAGGAGGGGTTGCACGGTGTTCATGCAAATGCACCATACTACCACGCTAGCGACAGCCGACGCAAAATGTATGGCGACGTGTCCGGATGAAAAGATTTTGATCGTGCTTTCGGTTGCCTTTTCCCAAGCTATCAGACACATTAGTAAAAAAAAAATATCACACTAGTACCCTTAGGGCATGAACTATGATGGCATATGGTGGCATAGTTGGGTACTGTAACGCCCTCGATGCGGCTATAGCTCCCACGTGTCGTGGCACGACTTAGAGACATAACCGCATTGAAAGCAATGTCGCAAGTCAGGCAACCATTACAACATCCCATGTAATAAGTAATAAAAGGGGGAGATACATAGTTGGCTTACACTCGCCACGTCACATCAGAGTACAGAAATAACATCCATCAAACAATCACTCATGGCCCGACTACGGCGCCAAAATAGAAAAGAACCCAATATGCAACAAGGCCCTGAATCGAACCCCAACTAGGCACCACTACTGATCATCGGGAAATGAAACATAATAACGCTGAGAGTCCTCGTCGAACTCAGCTCGTACTCGTCACCTGGAGCGAAGTCACCTGGACCTGCATCTGGAATTATAGTATCTGTGAGCCACAGGGACTCAACAATCTCGCACCCTCGCGATCAAGACTATTTAAGCTTATAGGAAAGATAAGGCAAGTATATGTGGAGCTGCAGCAAGCGACTAGCATATATGGTGGCTAACTTATTCGCAAAGGAGAGCGAGAAGAGGAGGCAAATCGCGAGCGAGAATCTAGAAGAGCAACCTGCGCAAGCATTAGTCCAACACCGTGTCCACTTCCCGGACTCCGCCGAGAAGAGGCCATCACGGTAACACACACAGTTGATTCATTTTAATTAATTAAGGTTTAAGTTATCTACAACCGGACATTAACAAATTCCCATCTGCCCATAACCGCGGGCACGACTTTCGAAAGTTCAATCCCTGCAGGGGAGTCCCAACTTAGCCCATGACAAGCTCTCACGGTCAACGAAGGAATAAACCTCCACCCGAGACACACCGATTAGACTCGGTAACCTGGTACATCAAGACAATTCGACAGGTTAAAACAAGACCATCAACACCGCCCGAATGTGCCGACAAATCCCGATAGGAGCTGCACATATCTCTTTCTCAGGGCACACTCAGATTGTCCAAACTTCCGGTAGGCCAGCCCAGAGTTGCCCCTGGTAGCCACCGGCGGCTGACGGTTTGGACCAACACTCAGAGGAGCACTGGCCCGGGGGGGTTAAAATAAGATGACCCTTGAATCTGCAGAACCCAAGGGAAAGAAAAGGCTAGGTGGCAAATGGTAAAACCAAGGTTGGGCATTGCTGGAAAAGCTTTAATCAAGGCGAACTATCAAGGGGTTCCCATTATAACCCAACCGCGTAAGGAACGCAAAATCCGGGAACATAACACAGATATGACGGAAACTAGGGCGGTAAGAGTGGAACAAAACACTAGGCGAGAGGCCGAGCCTTCCACCCTTCACCAAGTATATAGATGCATTAAGATAACATAGCAATATAATGATATCCCAACAAGTAAATAAATGTTCCAACAAGGAACGGCCTCCAATCTTCACCTGCAGCTAGCAACGCTATAAGAGGGGCTGAGCAAAGCGGTAACATAGTCAATCAACGGTTTGCTAGGACAAGGTGGGTTAGAGGTTGACATGGCAATTAGGAGGCTGACAAGAAAAAGGTAGGCATCGTAGCATTGGCATAGCAAGAGCGAGCAAACTAGCATAGCAAAGATAGTAGTGATTTCGAGGGTATGATCATCTTGCCTGCACAGTTGTCAGAGTTGACTGGATCCTCACAAGCAAACTCAACGGGCTCCTCGGTAGCGAACTCGTCTCCCGGCTTTACCTAAACAAGACAAACAAGCAACAAGGATACAATCAACCACGTGCAAGACCAAGCAATATGAAAAAATGATGATATGCTATGCGGGATGCGATGCTGGATGCAAAATGCAAGATATAACAGGAAATGCATGAACCTGGCCTCAACTTGGAATTCGAAGTGTGCCACTGGAAAGATGAGATGAAATCGCTTGAAAACGATATAAAGATCATTGGAATCGGAGTTACGGTTTGGAAATGGCAAGCGTTTTAAGATAAGACACCGGTCTGCGATTTACAGCAAGTAGGCATCTAAATGCAACGAAATGAACATGCTACAGCCACCAAACATGACAACAAAATACATGCAGGGATGCCCACAATATGCTTAACAAAAGACTAGCACTGAGCCACGACCAATTCCTACATTAGAAGGTTCAAACAAGTATGGCAAAAACGCAAATGCAAAACAGATTCCAGACTTAGTGAAATTAACACTAGTCTGAAATTTCAGATCACGAAGCCCTCTTCGGAGCAGCAAAAGAACATGATAAATGACCTGAACATGACAAGTAAGAACATGGCATGGAGCTACTCAACAAGCTTAACAAAAGATCCAAAGTGACCTGGGGCCAAAAGGGTTTACAAAATATATTAACGGGCACACGAACATAGCTAAAACACAATCAGTGTTCAGACTTAGTGAAAACTGAGACATGCTGAAATATAACTCACGAAGGCATGTAAACGAGCTCGATGCACTCACCACGGTGCAAGTCATGGCAAGGCAGGCATACACCCATTAATAAGGCACAAAATACAAGCTAGACATGGCAAGAACAATGGCATAGCATGCACGGATCAACTACAACAACGCCGGCAAAATCGCAAACAAGTTGACGATCTGCCCAGATTCACCACGAAGCAAAAGTAGAGCTCGATTGACTCAATCTATGGTGCTCCATAATTGCAAACAAAGACATGGATGGATAGAGCATAACATGATTAACAAAACTCCTTTACTGATCATCCTCAAAAGAGGCACGGATCACTAGGAAACAACCTGCACATATGGCATCATGAACTAAAATATCCCAGACTTAGTGAAAATAACTAAGTCCCTGAAAACAGATTTACCGGGTGCCTCTCTTTGCAAGCTTGCACAAGTCACCACACACATCCTAAAAATGCATGGGTTACACCTCTGGAAAGAAGACAAAATGCTTAACAAAACATATGAAGGACTCACAGGCATAGCATGCACACAATAATCATGGCAAAAATGACAAAAGTCTAAGATGAACTAGCAGATCTAATAATTAACTCACGAAGCCTCCTTCTAACAGCATTTTGGGCACCAAGATGAACTCAAATGAAAATGATGCAATGGAATGAAATGATGTACTCATCGAGGCGAAGACTTTGATATATCATATGGCCAAAACGGAGCTACGGATGCAATGTTACGGACGGTCAAAGTTAGCACAAAAATTAGGGTTCGGGAGCGAAAAGTCAACCGAGATGATTTTAGATCTGAGATCCAGATCGCGGATTTCGAGGATCGCCGGAGAGCTCGCCGGAGTTCCTGTAGATGACGGCGGCGGGCGAGGAAGACGAGGCCGGAGCGGAGAGGTGGCGATGGCGCGCTGTGGAGGAGTGGCCGGGGCGCCACGGCGAGGCGGCGGCGGCTCGATCCGGTGCCGGGGCGAG